TGTGGAACCCTTCTATGTTAAATATAAGTATTTTAAATTACCACGAGCATTATATTCATTGTGAGATTCAAGAGTTATCTACTAAGAAGGTATAGTTAACTACCTTCGTCTATGCCTACCCTTAAAAAGCTAAGCAAGAGACTCTGTGGACAGATCTTATATCCTTAAAACTAGTGTCCAATATCCCTTGGCTTCTTCTAGTAGACTTCAATAATATATGCTCCTTAAATGAAAAAATGGGAGGATCTCAGGTGTTTACTCTGGCCAAGATAAAGTTTAATAAATTTCTCAATGATTATGAAGTGTTTACTATGAACGCTTCCGGTGTTCCTTTCACTTGGTGCAATGGGCATCATGATAACTCTGTTATCTATGAAAGATTAGATTGGGCTCTTGTTAACCCTGAGTGGATGACACTTTTCCCCAATTCTGAGCTCCAAAATCTTCCTATTCTAAAATCAGACCATGGTCCCACCAGTCTCACGTGTAACAACACCCCTAGAAGAGTCCCAAAAGCCTTTAGATTTGAAGCCATGTGGTTAGCTCATAGAGATTTTGATAAAGTGGTCACCCAAACCTGGAATAATTCTTACAGTGGGAATGCTGCTCAGAAAATCCAATCGTGTTAACCTTCAAACATAAACTAAAATCTTGGAACAAAAATGTTTTTGGAGATCTGTTCCAAAAACTTAGATTAACCCAAGAGAATTTACTTCTTATCCAAGAAAAGTTGGCCCAGAATCCCTACAACCTTTATATCTTAGACAAAGACCTCAAGTTAAATACTGATTTGAAGATTTTGCTTGAGCAAGAAGAAGTTTTCTATTCCCAGAAAGCTAGAGCTAATTGGCTCCAGCTTGGTGACAAAAACACCAAATATTTTCACACCCAAGCTCTCATTAGAACGAAACAAAATCAAATTATTAGAATTAGGGATCCTGATGGGCTTTGGGTTGAGGGGGATGTCCTCCATCATACCTTTATTAAAGCTTTCAAGCTTAGATTCACGGCTGAGCAGGCTCCCAATCCTTTTCTAATGGCTGATTTTCTCCACATGATTGAGCCTTATGTCACTAGCCAAGATAACGTGAATCCATTGGCTCCTGTCACAAACTTTGAACTGGAATGTGCTGTTAAGGGTATAAGACCTCTTAAAGCCCCTGGCCTTAATGGCTTGCAAGTAGTCTTCTACCAAAGGTGCTGGGAGAATACTAAGTTAATGGTTAAAGACCTAGTCAATGATTTCTTCACCAATAATATTCCTTTGTAGGATGTTAATCACACCAACATAGCCCTTATTCCTAAAGTGGACTCCCCTGAGACTGTTAATCATTATAGGCCCATTAGTTTATGCAATGTTTCTTATAAAATTATCACTAAAATTCTTGTTAATCGACTCAAACCCTTACTTTCAAAATGTATTTCCAAAAACCAGGGAGCTTTTGCTCCAAATAGATCTATTTTCGACAAAATCCTCATTGCTCATGAATTATTCCATGATTTTAAATGAAAGAAAGGTTCTCAGGGAGCTATGGCTATCAAACTCGACCTTGAAAAGGCCTATGACCTCCTTGACTGGGGGTTTATTCCAATGTTTTCAAAGGCAAGGCGTATAGGCGAGACGTTTTTAGTAGCGCTATGCGAGGCGTAAGCCTTGAAGCATTGAGGCGTAAGCCTTTTGAACATTAATTTATTTTAATAACAAAAATTTATAAATAATACAACACAACTAAATTATAGTACTAATTCATATTTTGAAATATATTTATACAACATCAAAATATTAATTCAATTCATTCATGCCACCCCATAGAGGCAAAAGAATTTAATAGAAACTTCATAAAACTAGGGAGAAGAGGAACAAAAGAGTGGACAAGAATATCGGGTAAGGGTTATATCCTCTGCGGCAAGGTTATCCTTCAGGTCCAACTTGGGTATAATATTAATGTTATAGTATATAATATATATATATGTCCAGGTTATAGTTGAGGAGTCAAAACGTGCGTTTAACTTAAAATCAAGAAACCAAAACCTTAAAACGAAGTCGTTTTATTGAAGAAAACCTAAAAAAAACTTCATCTTCTTCATCGCGCTATGGGCTTGCAGAACGCAAAAACAGTGGCGCCGTTCTGCCTCGCTCCGCCTCGACCGCCTCACCACGCCTTGATGCGCCTCACTCCGCTAAACGTGCAGTAAGCTAAACAGACAAACGCTTGAGGCGATTTCCATGCGCCTCGCTCCGACTCGCGCACTGGGGCGCGATTAGGCATGCCTTTGAAAACACTGGTTTATTCGAGGTTGCCTGTCCTAATTTGGTTTCAGTCCTAGGTGGTGTGATCGAATTATGAATTGTGTTTCTAGTACTTCCTTCTCCTTGCTTATTAATGGTTCTCCCTATGGTCAATTCAGTGCCTCTAGGGGAATTCGGAAAGGAGATCATTTATCTCCTTATATTTTTATCCTGTATATGGGGCTTTTTATTAGGCATTTCAATATTCTTGCTAAGAATCCTAAATCTAATGTGGGTTTGCTCTCTTCCCCTAGAGGTGATCAAATCTCTAACTTGGTTTTTGCTGATGATTGTCTTATTTTTGCCAGGGCTACTGTTGTGGCTGCCAGAAATATCAACACTTTATTAGAAAAAATTTCTAAAGTCTCTGGTCAAAAAATTAACTTACATAAATCCATTGTTTACTTCTCTGGAAATGTTCACTCACAAGTTAGAACTGCCCTAAGTAATCTTATGCAGATTCAGCATAAGGCCACATTAGGGCGCTACCTTGGCATCCACAATATTATCTTCTGGAAAGATCCAGCTAATGCCAAAATGATGGTGGAAAGAATTTGATCAAAGTTTGCAGGTTGGAAGGCTCAAACGTTATCTAAAGCTGGTCATCTCACCTTATTTAAGGCTAGTGCTTCTGGTATTCCTAACCATACCCTTTCCTGTTTCAAGTGTCCCAAAGAAGTTTGTAAGGAATTGAATGCTTGTAGTAGGCGTTTTTTCTGGGGTAGTGGTATTAAGGTTCCCCCAGTTTCTTGGAAAGATATTTGTTTGCCTAAACATTTAGGGGTCTAGGGGTTAGATCTGCTGCTCATTTTAACAAGGCGGCTTTAGCTAAATTAGGCTGGATCTTCCTGTCTGATCCTACCAACTGGTGGGCTCAGATCATGACTAAGAAGTACTTAAGACAAGATTGTTTTCTTTCTGTCCGCAAAAAGACTTCTCATTTTTTAACTTGGAAGGCCATCCTTGAAGCTCGTACTGTACTGCATAAAGGTTTGAGGTGGATTGTTGGTAATGGTCAATCCATCTTCTTATGGACTGCAAATTGGGTTTTCCCCTTTCCTTTGCTAGATTTAATTCCTATGATTTTGCGAAACAATATTAACTTGAATGCTAAAGTTGCAGATTTTATTCAGAACTAGGTTTGGCAACATGATAAGCTACTTTAAGAAGTTGATGAAGACATTCTGTAAAGAATTCTAGCTATCCCCCTCCCTCTATCTCCACTGTTGGATGAGTTAATCTGGAGGCCCAACCCCAATGGAAAGTTTTCCATCAAATCTGCTTATAACCTTCAGTTACAGGATGAGCCTTCCCATCCTAGAGCTTCCTTACTAAAGAAAATGTGGAGTTTAACTCTGCCCCCCAAAGTCAAGCTCTTTGCTTGGTTATTTATTCGGAAAAGATTACAAATTAGAAGTCACTTACACAAATATTTACCTAATATCAATCCTAAGTGCCCTCTTTGTAATAATCACTTGTTGACTATTAACCATCTATTTTTTGAATGTCAGTTTGCTGCTAATATTTGGAGGTGTACCTCTATGATCCCCACGACCTCTCAACAGAATTTTGATGGTATCAAGTGGCTGGATACGCTCCCTCATTTAAAGGATATGGATGGCCCAAATAGTCTTTCAAAAGCTCTCCTTTTCTGCTGGCAAGTCTGGGAGGCTCGGAACAACTGTGTAGACATTGCCCCTCACCGGTTAGAGCTCTCAATGTTGCCGGTCGGGTTGGGTTGGTCTGGACTGCTGGAAAACTCCATCCTCACACACCACCCTAAACCAACCCCCCCCCCCCCCAAAAAGTTTTTTATATAAGCGATATTGTCAAATGGAAAATGCCTCCACGTGACAGATAAAAGTGAATTTTGATGGCTTGGTGCATGACAATATGGCTGCTACTGGTTTTGTTCTTCAAAACTGGAATGGTAACGTTAGGCTTGCGGGAGCTAAGAACTTGGGGCAGGTCTCGATCAATATGACAGAGTGTTTGGCTCTTCTGGATAGCCTGGCCTAGGCCATTAACAATGGTTGGCGTAAAGTTTTAATTAAAGGTGACTCCAAGCTCATCATTGGCTATATCAATAACAAAGTTTCGGTTCCTTGGAGCATTCATCTCTTGGTTCAAGACATAAGGCTGCTTAGCTCCTATTGTGAAGAGATTTCTTTCCACCATGTCTTTCAGGAAGCAAACTTTACTATTGATGCTTTAGCTATTTTAGGCCATAATCTGAACCATTCCCACCTATGGGAGCAGGGGTTTCCTCTAAGTTGCTCTGTTCCGTTTTATTTTGATTTAATTGGGCCTGCGTGCCCTCGTGCTTTCCGGTTGTAAGTTTCCTTTTCCTATTAAAAAAAAAAAAAATTAAAGGTCAAATTAATTCTTGTTGTGCTTTTTTCTGGAAATGTTCTGATTCTTACTCTAGACTATTGATATTAGGTTAACTTTAACATCACATGCTGGACTTTTGAAAGAACACTACCCTATATATTTTTGTAAGTATACAAATATAAATTTTTTTGTTTCTTTATATCCTTGTTGTTTGTTTCTGTTTGACGGGAACCCTTAAGAATGTGATGGTTGTAACATTGTTATAATTTTAATATAATAGTGCATATTCAGTATGGTTTTTACTTCTATAAACAGCACTTGTTTTCAACCACGCCAACCTATGTGCAATATTTTCGTGAGTCTTCTTCAGAAAAGAATGGCATACTACTCTTCTTTTCAGTTGCTAGGTTTCTTCTGCTTGATGATCAGCTTTCTTCAGCTCATTCTACTCCAAGCCTTGGCTTGGGGACCTGATGTTCCTACACAAGGCTTTGTCACCCTCCCTTTTAACCGATCATTCTACCATATTCAGAAGCCTTACGATGTCCCCGAAGACCAGCGCTTCAGCTTCGTGATGGTATTCATATATCATTAACTCTCTATCTATTGCAGGGATACAATTACTCTTCCGGGGTGTGGGAATTTGAAGCATATGGGTATGTACCATATGGGACATCAAGTGTGTGCATAATGCAAGTGTTTGGAGCAAGTCCTCCTCATGCCACAACTCTTAATGCTTAGGGTTTACAGTGGTTCACTCATGTACTACACGGGTCCAGTGTTGGTACCAAACATCTATGACAAATGGTTCAAGTTGAATGTGATTCACGATGTTGAAGCTGCAAAAGTGAAGGTTTACATTGATGGATGTCTCAAATTAGAGGCAGATGGTCGTGGAGGCACATCTCATGCATTCAAATGTGGTGTATACGCCCAGCATAATGACTCCTTTTACATGGGACGAAACACATCCATCCAAGTTTCAAGAAAGTGTAGACCTTGAACCATTAAGTAGCACAGCAATATGTGAAATATGGTATGGTCATATGCATATAATTTTTTTGCTTCGACCCAACCAAAAAAAAAAAGCTTGTTTTCTTTTCATGTCTCGTGAATAAATATGTAAACGAATAAATAAAAGAAAAAAAAGCCTCAAAATAACAGGTGGGCGTCGAGTTTGATGGCCTTGAGTCTAAATGACCTCGATTGTTTAGGTGTTTCGGTTATCTATTGTTTTTAAAGTGATGTAGTTAGATTGTTCATTAATGTTGTATTCTAGAAATAATCAATTATTCTCTTCTTCTTCTTTTTATTTTTATTTTTTTTTATACAAGTGATATTGGAAAATCAAAACTAGGACTTCAATGTAGTGGTAAATGCTCTTAACCACTTGAGTTACGTCCAAACTCTAATTCTTAATAACTTATGAAAATATTCAAAAACACATAACATATTTATTTGAAAAAATAAGTCCGTCACTAAATATCAGCATATTCATGGAACATAAATCACGTTTTAGCCATTCTCATGTCACAAATTCATATTTTTTGAAATTAGGATGCACACTATCCCATGCATATACCTAATTTCACACTCGTCCGATGTTGGGCCCATTTGCACGAGAGAACCAAGCCCAAATCATTCATATATGCATGTGTATTTTTTTATTTTTTTAGATAAGTGATAGTATAAACTACAAGGGGAGGGGGGTCATCTCACACACACTACTATAAGGTGCTATGGGGGTTTGAACTTGAGACCAGTGGTCTGCAAGTAAAGACCCTTTTTCCACTAGACTAGACATCATCGGCAACAATTGTAGTTAAACATGGGTATTTGAATTATTCACATTTATGACTTACCATGAATTTACTAACACATAACGAAGCCAAAAGAGATATATCAGTTCTACATGACCCAATACTTGAAAAATCAGGAATTAGATGGATAATTTTAGCAATTGTCTCTTTAAATCTTCTTGTTTTTTTTTTTTTTTTTTGTAAATAATTTTCTCATATCTTATCTTTGATGTTATAATTGCACAATCAATTTATTAAAAAATTTGATGTTATCAATTAATTAGGCAAATCACTCATAGCAGATTTTGTCTTCTACCCAGTGGCGGTTCTACACAGGGGGTAGGCTGGGCCGCTGTCCGGCCCAAAATTTTCCATAAAAACAAATAGGTAAATGTGTTAGCCAAGCCAAAAAAACAAAAACAAAAGAACTATCTCTAACTAGTTGCCCAACCAGCCATGGCCTACACTCACCAATTGGTGGCTGGGCAAGAATACCCACCACTTGCTTGATGGAATACCTTAGTGAAGAAGGCATAGCAACACCTTCCTTGGGAAGAGTTTTCTGAGTTGCAGAGGAGGCACTATGTGCCTGGCAAAGAAGACCATGTCTCGGTGCCCTTATAAACGAAACACATCGTTTTGTGATTAGCTTCCTTTAGTGAAACGGTGGGTTTAGTGTTCAACATTTGGCTGCCTCTTTTCATTGTCGATGGGTTTAATGGGCTAGTTTTGGTTTTATCGGTTTTATGAGGTTTGGCTTCATGATAAAATTTCTTGTATGGTAAAATTTCAAATTTAAATAGTGCTAATTTGTATTGTATTGCATTCTATTTACTTGTGATTATTATTATTTTTTTTAAAGCTTTTATTTATGTATAGAGATGCATTTGAAGTAAGGCTCATTACATTTCCATGAGTAGATGTATCTTTTAGGGTTTATTAATGAATTCACTCGTAATCTCGAGTTTAATATGTAAGTTTTGTCTAGCCGGTTTTCGAATCCTAAATCCACCACTGCTTCTACCCTTCCTTTCCTTTGATACTTGTTATGAACCACTTGACATAGATGAGTATAGTAATGACCTTTTTTCTTTAAATTTTTCCCTAGTTTTTGATACCATATGAAACGACCTGACCCAAATTTTATTTTGGAATCCGGGGCGAACCCTGTTTAAAATTGACACCTGGTGGGTGTGGGTCATAAATGACCTAATTGCCCTGAAAAATAATAACACAAACTCAAAGGCTCTAATTCGTGGCTGCACCTTATAACTGTAGGCTGCCTACGTACTTTTACTGAGGGATCAAGCCACACGTAGTTCTTTCCTTTGTTCTTGATCTGCAAACGTTCCTGATCTGCAAACTGGCAGGCCTCGGAGATACTGCTTCTATCCAGGCCTCAACCTATAACTAACTATATGCTCATCCCATAACAGGATTTAGGTAACTCCTTTCGGTCCGGATTTGTTTACTGTAAACCTAGCTCTAGGACTGTCATTCCTGGAGTATCCAGGACTCCATTTTATGATCTGTCAACTATTATACGATTCTGGAATTACCTGAGTCAATCTACCTAAACATGACTACGATCCAAAGGCTCAAACATGCTGAACCCGGAAATCACACACTATGCAGGATCCGTTAGGGGTTCAGATGTTATCCGAATTACGATCCGCGAAATCCTATGCGCTCGTGAGGACTAAGGGATTATTCTAAGACTGATTGTGGTCCCCACCTTGCTGCCCATGCGCCGCCACACGCGCCGGCAGCGTGCGGTGCCTAAAGCGATAACGCTTCACCGGAAAAACTCCAAATCACGCCTCAAGACTCCTACCCTAGGTGTAACACCCTAATTGGAGCCACTTTTGTTCCTGGACCTACCCCAAAAACTGGCCAGAAGTGGCCGGAACTGTGCTCCCAAAACCGGCCAAACCCTAGCTCGAGAATTAACCTGCCAAACCTAGAAATTCCTCAAATCCTACCCGACCATCAGCTAGAGCACGGAAAATAGCTATAAATCCATACCTTGTTCGTTCAATTTGGCAGCCGGAGAAGAGGGAACGAACGGTTAGAAGTTTTGATACAAACATGGCTGTTTTGGCCATTTTCCGGCGACTGATGTTACTGTTAATGACGGAGGAGGGGTGGGGTAGGAAGAGGGCGTCAAGTCGGTTCGTTTGGGACCGGTGCCACCCCAAACGGTGGCCGAATGCGACTGTGGTGGCCCAAAAATCAGGCTGATGAATAGTAACAGGGGGGAAAGGGAGGGGCTCCTCGAACCAGAGGGGAGGAAAAATAAATAGAACCCGATTACTGTAGCACCCGAATACTGTAGTGACACTATTGCTACAGTACAAATATAAAAATTCTCAATGTGTCCTTTTTGTTTCTAGACCTCCTTCATTACACTTCGGAACCGCGCGTACCACATGTCTACGAACTCGTTTCGTCGCGCTCTACACAATAGTACAATCGAAATTCCCAAATTCCTTCCCGGTCAAAAAGTCAACTTTAAAATCATTTAAAAATATTCCGGAGATATTCTAGTCTTTTCCTTGAATAAAATAATAGTTAAAAATTAATTAAGGATTGGGTTGTTACACCATATGTGACTTGACCATATAAGGCAATTGATATCTACTATTTGGTAGGTACGATTGGATTAGTTTACTTTAATCCAATGTCATGTTCAATGCTAAAAAAAATATAGATAGGATAAAATTAAAGAAAGTCTCTTCTTAGCGGGGTATATTCAATTAGGATTCCAAAGCGTTTAAAAAAAAATTAAAAATTCGGATGTATTCAATTTGGATTTATACAAACTTAATTACAAGTTTAGGTGTATTCAATTCAGACTTGTATGAACTTTTAAAAAGTCCATACAAACATGGGTGTATTCAGTTAGGATTATAAAAAAGTCGAATATTTAATCTTTCACTGCTCCGAACTCAAGACTTGGGACCCGAATTCAAGATACTAGAGACAATAAAGGATAATTATCCTCTCCAATTCAATATAAATTCAACGTAGTCAAATCCTATATATTCTTTTGCTTCACATTTTATAATTCTTTTTCAATATATAAGATACTGAGAGAGAGGGGAATTGATCATAGAACCTTGAGTGCATAATTCTGTTCATTGTTTTTCAAAGATATAGAATAAGAAGAATAAGAAGAATTAAGCATAGCTTCTATATTTATTAACCAGCAGCAGCAGACACCATAACACCTCGAGTATCTAAGACAACCCAATTAACTTTCTACCATGATATATTTATTCAGTAAACTGAAGTCTAAATATATATGAAACCAAGATAGATAATTAAGAGTGGCATTAAATGGCTGGGGTAGCGGCGGAGGAAGCAGCAGCAAGAGGAGGCGAAGCCGGGGCGGAGGAAGAAGCATTATCAGTAGAACCAGCAGCGGAAGCGGCATCACAGTAGCCTCGCAAAATGTTACCCTCCTCCGCCGTGAAGCCAAGCGACGTCAGCATGGCAGGCCAGCAGTGGTGCGTGATTGTGGCAATGGCTTTGCAACAGTCAGTCCCAATATCAGCCTGCCCGTTGAGGAAAAACAAAACCACTTCATTTGAACATGATTTCAGCTCCACAAGCGCATTCCAGCACTCCCCTAAGCCCCCTTGGCCGCCGCTGCCGCCTTCACCGCCTTGGCTGCCGGTTTTGATCCCCACAGCAGCTATGTTCCTCGCATTGGCGATTGCATTGTTTGCACTCATTATGAGGCACATTGTGGTCATCAGGAGGAGGAAAGCAGCATTTTTGAAAGCCATGGTATTCTCTGTAACTGTTTGTAATATTTGTATGTGAATATTCAGAGCTTGAGTGAAGAACATGGGAGGGTGTGGGAGTAATTTATAGTGGTGGAGTCCGGTGAGGAAGAGGAAGATGAGAGGGCTGCTAATAATTATTCATTAAGCTGTTAATTACTTTCATGATCATGGGGTTTGATCATAATTAATTTAATATATATATATATATATTGGTGTATAATATTATTCCAAACGCTTTACTTAAATTAAATGGGTAATCCCTTAGCTGATGCCTGATGGGAGCGTTACTAGTTTGGCAACCATAAGGTCTGTGAATTATATCTCAATTTGCATTTTCGTCCATTATCTCCAAAAATCGTTATAGGCCTCCATAATATTATATTGGTGTCCAATATTATTCCAAACGCTTGGCTTAAATTACATGGGTAAATATAAAGAAAGAAGCTAATTCCTTGGCCAATGGGAAGCTTCAGTTCAATTAGCTGCGCTTCCTACCCCGTCTTAGTTATTAATTCAATTTCATTATTTATGGCACACTTGTGCACATGGCTTTTTTGTTTGTTTTTATTTTAGTTTTTCGGTTTTCTACCGAATGGTCATACCGGGTTTCATTTTGATCATCCAACTAATTTTTTTAGTTTTACTCATCCTCCAACTCTCTCACACATGTCAAATTGGTCATTTCATTAAATTCCGTCAATTTGAGGAATACAATTATCAATTTAGTTGTCTATTTAAGGGGTAAATTAGACAGACTTGACACAAACGCTGCAATGCAAGACCTAATTGGAAGACACCTATTTTTGAAGTTGAAGGATGAAAATACAACTCGGACTATATTTCAAAAACCATAGCTACAATTTAACCTATATATAACATATTAAATATTCTTAGTCTTTTTTCAACCCTTAGACCATCTCCAAGGGAGATGTCAAATATCAAACATCAAATTTAAATTTGATGACTGATGTGGCAATTTGACATTTACACAATTTTACACTCCACTCGATATGTCAAATAAATAATTATTGTAACAGTCAAATCATTTAAGATAAAGAAGAAAAAAATTAAAAATAATGAAAATAATAAATGAAAGTAACAGCCAACTATCTTTTAAAAATAATAAAATATTCATTTGACATCTTGCTTTTGAGATGTCAAAAATAACATCTCAACCTCCAGCCTTCATTTCACATCAGCTTTGACACATCGGTTGGAGTAATTTGAGATATTATTTCTAGCCGTTAAATGTCTATGTGGTACTTTTAACTAGGGGTGGCATTTTAAACCGAAAAACTGAAAAACCGCAAAAATCAACCAATAATTTACCGCAATGAAACCGCAATCGCGGTAAACCGAACCGCATTTGCGGTATTAAGAACCGAACCGCATTTGCGGTTGCGGTTGCGGTATTTGATTTTCAAAACTTGCGGTTACCGCAAACCGCAAAGTATAGCCGCACGGATGATGAAGTTGAATTCTACAAGGAAATGGAACATATGACAACTTGTAAGTAATTAGTTTATTTATGCTAATGTTATTTATGCTTCTTCTTATAATAAAATGTACTAAACTATGTTGTTTTATTTGTAGATAACATTGGTGCTCAAACAACACAACGGGGTTCTTCAAATCCACTCACCACCAACACTTGAGTTTGTAACTTTAGTTTGTAATTGGTGCATTGCATTTTCCTTTTAGTTTGTAACTTTAATTAACTTTGAATTGTGAATTTATATTTTTGTGAATGCTTGAAAACTTGCGGTTTTAAACCGCTAAACGCCGTCGGTTTGCGGTTTGAGTAAAAATTCGCGGTTACCGAACCGCAACCACCCCTACTTTTAACATATCTGTTGGAGATGCTCTTAGAAATTCAAAATACTCGAGCCCCCTCTTAAACAATGTTTGGATTTTTTTTCCAGAATTTGGTCGGCCCAAGCCATTCTTTGTTTTGGGTCCAGCCCAAACTCTCCCTCCCTGCCGGCAATAATCACCAGAAAATTCCCAAATAGAAGTTTTTGGCGCCCTAAAGATTGAAGAAGAGCAGCGAAGAGATGAGCGTGGCGGATCTGCCAAAGACAGAGGCGAACGTGCTGAGAGGCCACGAGGGGGCAGTATTAGCAGCGAGGTTCAATAGTGACGGCAATTACTGCCTCAGCGCCGGGAAAGACCGAACCATCAGACTCTGGAACCCACATCGCGGCATCCACATCAAGACCTACAAGTCCCATGGCCGCGAAGTACGTGACGTTCATGTCACCTCGTAAGTCTTCATCTTTTCTTATTCTTTCTAATCTTTGAGCTGAACCCAGGGACAACTTGAAATTGTGTTCTTAAGTCTTCATGTTTTCCTCTTCTTTCTAATCTTTCAGCTGAACCCAGGTAACCAGTTCAATGAATATATATGTATAATGTGGGTGGCCTTTGTATAATTTGTTCTTGTAGGGACAACTCGAAATTGTGTTCTTGCGGTGGTGACAGACAAATCTTTTATTGGGATGTGGCGACGGGGAAAGTCATTCGAAAGTTTCGAGGTCATGAAGGGGAGGTGAATTCTGTGAAGTTCAATGAGTATTCATCTGTTGTGGTCTCGGCAGGTTTTGATCAGTCCTTGCGTGCTTGGGACTGCAGGTCTCACAGCAATGAACCCATTCAGGTTAGCCTTGTTATTGCTTTTTTCCTTTTCTTCTTTTTGTTAAATTTCTTTAATTGTTTGTGATTTACTTGTTTTTTCATAGCTGTGCTTAACCTGCAGATAATCGACACGTTTACAGACAGTATAATGTCTGTTTGTTTAACAAAGACCGAAATTATTGGTGGAAGTGTTGATGGAACTGTGAGAACTTTCGATATGCGTATAGGGAGGTATGTTGCTTTGTTCTGTATTTTTATCTCTTTACATAGTTATGTGTCACAAATCTCCTTTTATGCTAAACTTAGACACTCAAAACTTTGATTCGAAGATTTTCCTGAGCTTTTGATGATGGATGTTTAATGTTGTATTACATAGAGAAGTATCCGATGACTTGGGACAACCTGTAAACTGCATCTCAATGTCAAATGATGGTAACTGCATACTAGCCAGTTGCTTAGATTCGACTTTACGTCTCATTGACAGGTAAGTACATTTAAAATCACTTATTGTAGTAGTCATGTATCTGGCTTAAGTTGCACGCCCTTTCACTAATTTTTTCTTGTGATAGGTCTTCTGGTGAATTACTTCAACAATACAAAGGTCATACTTGTAAGGTCAGTGTGCTGATGTGTTATTATGGATTTTGGAACTCTGTCATGGTTCCTTTGCTATATTGTAATTCAGATATGCCTTGTTTTGTTGATGTTTTTTTGGCTGGAAATTGATTTGTTCGTTATTCAAACATTTTATATGACTTTGCATTTATTTTAATGTGCACTTTTATGGTTTTTTTTTTTTTTTTAACCGCATATCCTGTAGTCACCTTGAAGTATTTGGCATAGGCTTGCACTATTTGACTCTCATTGTTCATGAGTTCTTATCATTCCCATTGCTTGTTTCTGTATCAGTCTTACAAATTGGACTGCTGTATTACCAACACCGATGCCCATGTAACCGGTGGGTCTGAGGATGGCTTCATTTTCTTCTGGGATCTGGTAGATGCATCTGTGGCAACAAAGTTCAGAGCTCATTCGTCAGTGGTAAAGCCTAGTTTCCTCCGTTCATTGTTGTTTTTCTATCAAAATTGTGTCGAATGCTCACAATGTCCCTACTACTTACTTTGTGTTTCTTGTGTATGAAAAAAGAAAATTTTCCTGTGACTTATACAGATTAATACAGTTCAAAAAGGTTGTTACTGCCATAATTTGGATAATCTTGTCAATAAATTTAAGAATAAGTGCTGCTCTTTCATTATAGCATTTTAGTTCTGATGCATTTTCTGCTTTTCTAAGGCTTCTTTCTCTTATATGCTTTATTTTAATTCTTCTCTCCTTCTTTGTGTTCATTTTGGATAGGCTTTTAATTTTCATTATATTGCCATTTGATTCATACTTATACATAAACCTCTTAGTATTTTCCTCGTATTGTTTTGCTCTTTCTTGGTGTTAGTTTTGTATAAGCCTTTTCTTTCATTATATTGCCAACTGATACATACAAGTTACATGTATAATTTTTTGTATTTTCCTTTACTGTTTTGCTCTTTCATTGTGTTAGTTTTGTATAAGCTTTTTTCTTTCATTATATTGCCAACTGATACATACTTGCATGTAGACCTTTTCATTCTGATGCATTGTCATAAGGATGGAGGTCAGTCTTCCTTCTTGTTCCCCTGAATTTAACCAAATGCCTTTAGAACTTGGAGAGGTGTCACTTGAATAAAGTGGTTGTGTGGAGATCGTAAATTAGACAGACTTCCAACATGCGACTGGAAATAGTATCATGGGCAATAGTGCTCTGGGGACAACACCCAACTATTTCTATCAATTTCTGGGGATAATATGATTTTAATTCTCATCTATTTGTTTTTAATGTAAAATGGTAAGGAAATTGGAAAATCACTTAAACTTGGTTTATGAACGAGGAGAAACAGAAACTGAAGAGACCCATTGTGATACAAAGTTCACATCTGCCTTAGAATTTTTTCATGGTTTTCTTTTTGGATGTCGATTGGAAATTGACCCGTTTCATTGAGGTATTGTGTTATAACATTTATGATGATTGTAAGGGGATAGAGTAGTTTATGTCATGATTGCTGCATCTTGGTCCGTTCTTTGCTTCTGGCACAAGGACTAGTGTAAACCATCAAAAGAGGTTGCTTGGAAACCCTAAATGCTTATGGGATTTGTCCGTCTTTTTGTTTTCCTTCTCCTATTGGTAAATAAGGGCTTTTTGGATTTGGTTTGACAGGTAACAAGTGTGAGTTATCACCCAAAGGACAACTGCATGATAAGTTCCTCTGTTGATGGCACCATTAAGGTGTGGAAATCTTGAGAACTTTTCACAAGCAATGAAGTAAATCAACCTATGCTGTGCTGCAATTTGTACCTTCGCTGCTGAAATGCTGCCTTGTAATTATAGAATTGTTAGCTTTGCTTGTTCCAATGCTCTTCACTTTCAGAGTTTTGTATCTGATTTTGCACAACATTTTACTGTATTGAATTTGGGCACACTGTAATTGATGTATGAAAAGTTAACAATGTTTTGTATTGAATTTGAGTACACTCAAAACCTCCAAATCACACTCACTCCAGATAGATCAATATTCACAACAAAGATCCAACCTTTTATTTGAAGTACATAATCTACAAAATGAACAAAACATAAACAAAGATCATTACACTTTTACAATTAATGATGAGGATTTCAAATTTCAAATGTCAATCTTCAGCTGGTAGGTGGTGATGTAAACTGGTAGGAGGCATAAGAAAGAGCACCAAGATCCCAGCTCCCATGAATGAGCTTAGCCTTTGCATCTGAGCCAGCAGCTCCCGTGGCCACATGCAATGGGTAGAAGTGATCAGGCCAAGGGTGAGCCATTTTCGCATGAGGGGCCTTCTCCTCATACTGGTTCACGTCTTCGTACCTCCCTTCAAGCAGAGCATCCTTAAGCCACGTGTCGAACTCCAGAGCCCACGGAACAATGGATCCACGACCACCACCACCCCTGATCTCCCTCAGCGCCCTCAAGTTGTGAGTGGCACTGCCAGACCCCACCACAAGGACGCCCTCGTCCTTGAGTGGGGCCAGTGCCTTTCCCATGTTGTAGTGATAAGTGGCGTCCCTGTCTGTCTGGATAGACAGCTGACAGACAGGAATGTCCGCCTCCGGGTACATGAACATAAGTGGGACCCAGGCGCCGTGGTCGAGGCCACGTTTGGCATCGACATCGACACGTGGGAAGCCGGAGGCGGTGAGGAGATCCTTGACACGGCCGGCGAGGGGGGGGGGGCCCGGGGCGGGGTACTTGAGCTGGTACATGGACTTGGGGAAGCCGTAGAAGTCGTAGATGGTGTCGTGGCGGCCGGAGATGGCGTTGACGGTGGGAACAGACGTCTCCCAGTGGCCGGAGATGATTAGAATGGAATTGGGTTTGTTTGGATACACGTTTTGCTTCCACGACTGGAGGAATTTTCTGGCTGGGATTGACTCGTCGATGCTCAGCGTAGGGGATCCATGGGATATGTAAAACGTGTCCTGAACTGCCATTGCAAAACACAGACAAGGAGAGCGAGAGAGAGATGACAAAGGAATTTGGAATTGGGAAATTGGGATTTTGATTTGTGTTCTTCTCTTTTTGGTTGAGAATTTGTTTGGTAGTTTTTCTATTTTATACCAAAAGGAAGTCGAAGTCTAGGTTTGGTGAAAACACGTTTCTCCTAATATACCACGTATGTGCTTCTGTCATTTTTCTTTTCTTATTAAAAAGCCTGTGCCATTGATACTGTGAAATGAAACTCGTCCTGTCCCACGTGAAATTTTTTAAATAATAAAAATTTTGGGCCAATGGGGGCTCCTCTTTGAATTTCTAAATTCGAACCAAAATGAACCTAATTCTCAAAACTCAAGAAGAAAGAAAAATGGCGGGTTTGAATCTAAACGACGACGCTTTGCATGGTCCGAAAGAATAAGTAAAAACAAAGGCACACATTTAACAAGAAACCGACCTTAGCTCAGTTGGTAGAGCGGAGGACTGTAGTGGGATCAATCCTTGTAGCTATCCTTAGGTCGCTGGTTCGAATCCGGCAGGTCGGATTTTTCTTCTTTCTGTCTTTTTTGTAAACGCTGTTCGACACAAATCCAATCTCCATTGTTCTTTTTAGGTGTCATCACTTTAAGGCTCATCCTTGCTTTTAGCATGAGCTGGTGGGTGTATGAAGGAACTAATTACTAAAACTTGGAGCCCTCAAACACCAGGATCTTAATTTGAGGCTAATATTTCCCATCTATCTTTGTCGGACGCGTTTTGTACACCTGTAATTATAAGATCTATTTGTACGATAAATCAATCTCCATGACCCCATTTCCTAGCTATTAGCCTTTTCACAAATTTGGTGTCATTTCGAAGGTTATCAATTGGACAGCACCTTCCACCAATCAGAAATAATTGGTTGCCGCCTTAGTATTACTATAAATAGGGACTTTTTCCTTTGTTGTTGAAAGTATCCAACCTTGCATGACAGTGTATGCGAAGAGAAAGAAAAACTTAGAACATAGAGAGAGAAAAAAAACGAGAGTGGTGATAAAATTCTCAAGGGGAGCTAGAGGCCATATGTAGCTTGTGTGTGTTTACTTAACTTGGAGCTAGTTTTGAAAACTAGGTAGGGAATTTCTTGGGGGCCTTTATAAAGATTGATTTAATTAAATTTCAAGAGCACTATATTATGTGTGACATGATTATTTGGTTAATGTTCTTGTTACAAATGAATGGTTTCCCTTGAATGGTTTCCCTTGAATGTTTATATGTTATTGACTATTTGAATAATGTTGGCATAATTAAATACACTGGTGATATTTAAATGGTTACATTGTTTTCATATATATGAGATATGTGAAAAACATAATTATATCATGTCATGTCATGTTATGAAAATTGGTTGGAGTTGGTGGGTTGAGAAAATAATGAAAAAAAGGTCATGAGAATAATCTTTTGGGTAGTTAAGTCTTGGTAGGTATTAGATCTTTGGGATCCCACAGTGCACATGATTTTTATTGGGTGATGCAGGACTGGGTGATTTTTATTGGGTGATTTTTATTCAGAATTTATAAAAATTATTTTTTAGGATAGAAATTAGTAGAAAATATACTTGAAAAATAACTCACATATTATTACTCTCAAATTGTCCTACCAAACATGTTTTTACTATTTTTATTTCCTGAATCTGTTTTCCAATTAATCTACCAGATGCATTTTCGAATCCTGAAAATGCAAATTCGTTTTCTCATTTTCATTCTCTGAAAATCTTCCCTTAAAAAATATTCTTTGAAAAAGTTACCGAACGGGCCCTAATATTCCGAATACTTCCGTCGGAAATTCTGTTTGGGAGATGTTTATTTATTTATTTTAGTGTTCTTCACATTTTAATTATAGTTTTCCTTAAATTCTATAATTGAGGTGTGAATCATGTCTTAATCCAAATCCCTGAGTTGGGGCGTGCCAGACTCTCATACTAACCAAAATCAATATCAATTAATTTAACTAAAATAAACATCAATTAATCAAATCAAAATTTATATTAAATTATAAATTAATCTAACCAATCATAATTGATCATATCGAGTCGTGTGTAGCATAGTCTCTTCATGCTCGAGTTTGCTCTAGTTTAACAATGAATTACGTTCTAACTTACTTTGAAAATTTGATCAATGCATTATTTTCTTTCTTCACACAAGACTTGATCAATATAATTAATACAATTCATATTTTATAAAGACTTGGAGTTAGATTACATGTGATGGGATCAATGATCTTTTAGTGCATTAAAGTTGGTTTTTTTTTAGCCACGCAGTAGGTTAGGTTAGGTGGTTTTGTTTTGTTTTTTTTTTAATACGAATTTTTTACAACCCTGTATGCTAAGGACTAATGAATTTTGCAGGTTTTTTTTTTTCCCCTAGTCGAAAATGACCTTGTTTTGGTCGGGAATTAAAACAACAAAATTTCCGCGCGCAGTAAAACACAAGTTTATTTTCGTTGAGTCTGAGTGAGACATTTTGTCAAACAGGTGGAGGGCACACCAAAGATTGTGCGAAGGGGCAAATCTCCACCACCTCCATGGCTTGCTCCATTGAGGCTTGCTCCATTGAGGCACCTCCCCTACGCCTACACAGGTCCGCCACTACTTGTACTTTTGAATTCCAACCAACTATGTGTATTTTTCTTTCAAAATCTACACGTTAGAAAATTGACACTCCTATATATACTTGCATGTTAATTTTTGCTTGGGTATATGTTAAAAAACGAATGAAAATCAAGTCAATAACATGTCAATAATGATATGAATAAGGTAATGGTGTTGAATTGGAGGAGGCCTCCAAAACCTTCCACATTTGAAGCAGTGCAGAATGCAGATTATCTCTCTGGCACTAGAATATATATAATTTTTGAAATAAATATTATTTCCGTTGTTACTAAATTTGCCTGTGAAAAATGAGAATAGATAATAATAAACTCATGAATAAAAGTGCAAAGCATTTGAAAAAAGGTTGATCTATGACGATTATGGCTGACTAAAGAAAAAGCTAGGAAGAAATAAGGATGTGGCAATGGCTTAGTAAGCAGATAGCAGAGCAGATGCTTTGCTTTGCTTCCTTCCACCATCTTTCTTATTTATTTATTTATTTTGTGTTGTGTATAAGATGACAATAATTGTCATGTGTGTGAAGTGCAGAACTTGCCTAGATTGCACTCACACTCACTCATGCATCAACCATTGATTGGAGTTTGGATCCATAAATGAAACACATGTTATTGCTTGTAATTCACATAATCATTGCATTAACAGGTATT